GGCACAGCTGTTACTGACCATGACTGAAAGGGAATATGTCACATTTTAAGATTTTAAAGCAGGCATCTGTATATCAAAACTTAAAAGACAGCTCTAGACAACACAATTTCTCTGTTTAGTAAATGTTTCACTAGAAACCTCATTTTTTTATTACGTCATCGCACCTTGCGCAACATTGATTGGCAGGTAATTGTGGCCGTTATGCCTGGAAATCATGCCCACAAACACCAGATATGAACGACTCAAACATTATAATTTTATTGGGGTTGATCGCCAGGTGGTTTATGGAATGACAGGATTTGTATGACGTGATTACGACGCCATGGATGTCAAGGTAACGTTGAAATAATCTCCCAGAAATCGCCTTTCCATCTTTGCGGGCGTGTAGTCCAAAGCCTATCAGGGTTTAGGTCTCAAGAACGACTGTGAACTGCAACGAATGATTTTCACGATGGCTATTTTCGTTCAAAACCCCTTAGAAAAAAAGACCACTCCCTTTAGCTTACCACCTCCTTGCCAATATTACATATATATCTCATTGTTCACGCGCACAAGACAAAATATATTAAATTGCTGTGGGGGCTGGGCCATAGGCGTATCACAGGAGATGAGCGGGCCTACCAACTGGCGAATTAAGCATTGGCGTCCCCTCCCATCGCACTCACCCTTGTTGACCATGCTTTTATAAAAATGGCGATTCACAACTGGAGAAAATAAGGTTGGCAACGACGATGGCGGATAACGCTAAGACCCAATTTCATTACACATAACCAGAAGCTACATCTCGGCCATCAGTAAACCGTACAGACCGATTGGAAGGAAAGACATCGACACGTCTCCGCAATGGACACACAAAGTTGGGCAAAATGGACACGCATAGTTGTATTTGAAACATCATAGTCCCTTACATTATCTGTGTGATCGCTCCCTGGCTGTTAAGCATATTTTACCTTAAAGGAAATGTTACACATTGGAAGGCATTAAGGTAGGCATCAGATATGGTGTAGAAAGCTCACTTGTAACTAATGGTAAGATTTTAAGGTTCAAAAACGGCGCTAAGAAGCAAAATTTCAAAGTTTGTAAAAACGCGCCCAATTACGTCATTGTTTGATAGCGTCATGGAATGGTTTTTGTGACGACAGCAGTACCTGGCAGCATCTGGCAGCCAGACTTTAAGAACACCTCAAAACATGAAACGAAACGAAAACTGACGCTAGTCAACCATTCTCGCCGCGGGGCTGTGTCGGGTGGCGTATTAGTGGGTTGTTGGTGAACTGTTTGACATACGCTACGTAGCGATCGCCAGCTTCTATGCCAGCTTATTAATATCAAAGCACGACATGATTTGCTGCTGCTGTTGCTGATGAGTTACTAATGATTTTGTCAATACTTTATTGTCGACTCACCGTTGCCTGCAGTGTTGTAGTCCTGACATTGATATCGGGTGATGTGAACGGTACTTCTTTATTGTTTGTACCTGGAAATGCGGTGTCATACGAAAATAAATAAATTTAACGTTGCCAGGAATTCATCGCCAAAGCATTGCTATTGCTATGGTAAAGATGGTAAGGCTGGTAAGGATGGTAAAGGTGGATGGTACCGAGAACTGTTTTGCTTGGAATTGTATATGCAATTTATAGTTAACCCTGATATAATCACTGTGGTGCAATCACATTCTCGCTATTGATAGTCCTTTGGCATTGTTAAGCTAGTTGTTATTAGTCAGTCATAAATTATGAGATGTCTCATAGACTTGAAAGAGTAGTCAAACAATGTGATGCATTGTGTAATGGCGCAGGTCGACAGCGGTGGCACTACCTCAATGCTGTACTGTGGCATGACATAATGAACAATGAAATAGTTTTTGCACTGCAATCTATGCAGCTTTCATAATAAACTAAATCATGCAAAGATGGGTGAAGTGTCCTCTCCTGTATTGACTCTTCGTCTGACATGTGAATGACCAAAAACACATGATACAACATACAAATCACTCTCAGCAAACAGACAACCCATAAGTGGCATCGCTTGCTCAGCCTGTTTTGGGAATCCACAAAACATAGGTGAGAAAGATGCAAACACATCTTCCACTTTCACAGCCATACAACATACTGCAGCCATCAGGGCGCTTTACCAAAAAATAACAGGAAAGTTTTACATGTGATATAATGGCACCACAAACACGCTGATCTTGCACAAGGCTGGAAACCTGAAGTGCTTGTAGTTACAGCTGGATGGGCAAAATGCAAGGAAGTGATGAAGCTGCCAGGGCACAAAAGGCTCATGAAAACGATATTATAAAGTGCTATCCAAGACACCAACAGCAATATTTTTCCACCTTTCTCAGCACCCAGCATCTCACGCAAGTTGCAGTCACTATGCCATTGATGGCTCACGAGCAATGCTCGCCTGCATACAAAATTTGTGAGGATTATGTGCATCAGAAGTAAGACAGCTCTATATTTTCAGAATTCTTTAGGGAAAGACAATTTTGTCGAGCCATATGATGTGAGCCTGTATTGAGCATGTGCATTCATGAGCTGCACGCACCAGCCCCTACTGCCAAAATGAGTTACTGATATCATGACACGCAATGGATTAATTACATTCCGTAATGTCTCAACAGGTTCAAAATGTTTGCAAGGTCATAATAAAGTACCAGCTTGCATTTGTACACACCTGCAACATAAGTGCTAGTGCTTCTCTTAGTTTGCCAGCGTTCCTTCGTCATGTTCAAACACAAAGGTAGAGGCATGTATCAATATATCCCATTTTATTGGGAGTCAGTAGACTTAAAGAATACCAAAACAATGTTTTACCAGAGGTACAAACCTCGCACGCTCACTCCTCATCGCATCAAGATCACCACAGACCACTGGCACGCTCCACCAGTGTACATAAACTAAATATCTTAGTTTGCCAGGGTTCCTATGTCATGTTTAAACACAAACATAAGGGTAGAGGCAGGTATCAATTTATCACATTTTAGTTGGAGCCAGTAGACTCAAATAATACCGAAACAATGTTCCCTCTCAGAAGTACAAACCTTGCGCGCATACTCCGCATCACATCAAGATCACCACAGGCCACTGGCACGCACCACCAACGATCACACGCATTCCATGCCCCCGATTGACACTATTTTGTCAAATAAATGTGATATCACACTTCCACAGCTTGCAGAACTAGCAAATTGCAGGTTTTCTCGCAATTTCCGCATCGATTTTCAGTCATAACACCATATTGCAGCGCGACCTCCCTTTAAAACAAAGTCCCAGCTGGGGTTCATGGTAATGCGTCTCAACAGGTTTCTTCAGGAAGTAGAAAAAACGCTAAGGGGGGGGGGGGCGGGGTAAAGACAGATTTGCCGTCGCGTCTTCGTTTTTATAACTCTCGGAAAAGTGCCCGTTTTTTGGTTGCCGTACTTTTTTGCAGGCAGTGGCGTTTTTTATAACGTTGACCTTTGGTCTAGAAATAAGAAAAAATGACCCGTTCACGAGGGGTGCCGCACAACCCGAAAATGCTCACGCTTACGTTCGCGAAGCGCATTCAGCAGCGAAATCTTGCTAATAGCGAATGATCTTCCGCACATTGCATCATACGTGCCGCATCATCGCTTTTGCGAACGTACCAGCGGTCATGCTGTTTTGACCATAAGCAGAAAACGGCATGTAGTATGGCTGCGATCGCATGACGTTTCTATGACGTCACTAATGCCGAGGCAACTTTGAAATAAGCTCCAAATAGACGTTTCCCACTTTTGCGGGCGTGTAACTCAGAAACCAGATCCTTTTTCGTCTTAAAAATGACGTGACCGTGAACTGTGTGAAAATGTCCTCAAGATGGCAATTTCAGTTCAAAACGCCATACAAATGTGGAACATTTCCTTTAATGTGACGACTTTCAACAGCAGCGAAGGGCACTGGGGGCATATCGTCGTCACCAAAGTGCTGCGCTATCGTCGAAAGTCTCCCCCAAGTATTGACCAACCACATTTTCTTGATTTTCTGTTCAGTTTTGTTAGACGTGCCGATATGCTTAAAGCCTTGTGAACTTAATAGCATTACTTCCTTCTTCAACCATGTAGTAGAAACTAGAGGGTTTAGTTCTTGAGAAGTGCAGGGCTGTGAATTGCATCGAGTAATCTTCAAAAGGTATATCAGACCAAAACTCCATACAAGGGTGGAAAACGTCCTTTAAAATCATGAAGTCAGCAACAAGTACGAGCATACCTGCCTGGTGCAGTTTCGTAGAAGCTATCAACGCCAAATCCGCACTCGTCTGTATGCTATAACAGCATGTTCGTACCGCTATCCTTAGTTAACATAAAGATTATTATCAGCCAATGTGATCAAGTGCCTTACTTCCAGCCACCTCCACAAAGCATGTTTCATTTCCACTGATGCTTGCAAGTTACCAGCTATTGCATTTCTGTCCACACCATTCCAGGTGATGGTTCGGCCTTAGTACCTTACGCTAGGAGCAATAACAGAAAACCATGCCGTGTCGGCCATGAAGCACTCTACCCCTGTAACCTGTCCGCTGCCGGGGAGTGCGCCTGGGCCAGCTCCGCTGCGCCGAGTAGCTACGTGTTACGACACCGCCTAAGCTTATGCTAGTCGTAACGTTATGTTATGCTATCATGCTTTTATCGTATGTTAGCCAGATTTACCGTACTTTTATCGTAAACTGTTACCTAAAGAGCAGGACAAGGAGCCTGCTGAGAATCCGGTGTGCCAATGGGGCGATGCCGACGTTTTCCGCTGGCTCATGGCCGAGTTCCTTGGCAGTCGTCTTTGAACTGTAGCGTGCCATCCTCCCGCAGAAGAAACAGACAAAGCGATCTTCGAGAGACCATCTAGGTCGATGCTGTCGTCACACATTATGTTGCATTGGTGCTTTGGTGGGAAAACTATCTCGTACCAAACCCATTGCACCAAAGGAAAGTGGTTGACAGTTGGTCTTACAAGCGAGAACGATTGCACCAAATGTAGGGGCAACATTCAGGGCGGCCCCTGCTATTCGTTGTGAGGTGGTTTACCTACGTGATGCAGTGAGGTGGTTGATTCATAGGCAAACGTGAGTCAAATAGCCGCAGCAAGTCTGCGTGCATACGAATCGTCCGATCATTGCTTCGGACACAGATTCTTCCACAGATTCTGGTGGCATTTTATATTTACTACGATATTCAACATCTATAAGAACATACTAATGCGCTTGTATTTTCTCATTTCCATGCTTTCGTCCTTGTGGAAGAAGTATGTTTCGTCGTAGTTCACCACTCGTCTCTCCACAAGTTCTAGCCGAAACAACCTTGCGAAGGGAGCTGCCGAAAAGAAACAGGTCAGGTGGATCATGCAACGCCGAGAAGATATTATGAACAGGCGCAGGATATTATGGCATACTTTTATTGTGTGCAAGATACCGTAAACGAACGCAGTGTGCAGTATGCCAGACACGTAAACGTGAGGTGATTTGATACCTGATGAAAATGCGCCATGTCATCTCGTCATCCCTTGCGATTATACAGGTGACTTAACACTCAAAAAACTTACTAGGATAAAGGTGAGACCATCTGCCTTCAATCATAGTTCCGTTTTTTGCATGCTTCTTGTGCATGGAAGTCGCTCTATTTAAAACTGAACGTGAGGTGTGCATAGCTGAAACGGAAAAGGGTTATGTTATAGGTAAAAGGCGTGCTAGACTTCATACGAATCTACTTAAAGCAAGTGTTTTCGCACATGGTGTAAAAACAGGAGTGGGGCAGTGGGCATGTCCCCCCCCCCCCCCCCACACACACACACTTGAGTGTTTAATATTAACCTGATCGCGATGTACGGAAAGAATCGACTTAAACATTGGCGTGCCCCCCCCCCCCCCCCCCGTTCTTTCTGAGACGTTACTGTGCCAGTTTACAATGATCTGTACGTAAATATTCAACACAACTTTTCATTTTTACATTGCTCGCGCATCTTATCCAAGGTTCCAAGACTTATTTCACAGTACAGTCATTTTGAGCAAACATCGGCTCCGCGTCAAAGAACTATTTGCTTTTCACGCGACTTCGCCGGCGTGTGGAGCTGTTGTTCTCATTTGCTCTTCCATCCACGCACGCTTCTCAGTATTTCTCAAGTCGCTCTCACGGCTCGCTAGTCCAGATTTATTTACCATGGATTCACGATTCACTTAATTATAAACAAAGGCCATTCCTTCCAGTCAGCCCACCTGTGTTTCTTCCGCCACTTCTCTCAGTGACCGCTACACACAGCACGTAACCGACTGACGCACAGATGTTTTATTACCCCAGGAGCATTGTTAAACTGTCGCCATCAATACCAGTGCTTGTGCTCTCCGGTAACGAATGCCAGAATGCACCCTCTACACTCTCCCGTGCCAATAGTTCTTCACGCTGTGTTTGAGCCGGCGACAAAACGCAGGGTGGGATGACGAGTCCAGTCTGGCCACCGTTCCTCGACGTGGGGGATAACGGCTGATGCTATTCGCCACAACAAAGTCGAAGACTGAACTATTAAAGATTCATCAACCTTGTGGGGATCATTTTACCTTTTCTTATTATTACAAGTTCCAATTTATTTGTGATGACAGCACATCTGCACACATCACTGGAGACCAGTTCCACTCCCATAAAGTAAAGATTACTTGCGTCGAATAGAGATGAGCGAAGTGATGCAGTATTCGATTCAGCGTTCTGTGAATCATGACTGGGCTCCATTCAGCATTCTGCCAATGATGACTGGACAACAGGCGGCCGTCGACGAGCGCAAAGCGAACACCGAAGGCCGGTGGATCTGGCTAATCGAAAAATAAATGAAACCTTGAGGTGGTTGAGTTTTAACCACTGGCGTAGGTACTGAGCACGAAGCCATGACACCTATTTAGAGAGGGGGTGGGTATCAGGACCCACCCTCTATTTTCGAAGTTTGATGTTCACCATTTGGGATAATGTCATCCAAAGAGTTTGCTCCATAAGTGTTGCTATTTTCTCTCGCAATTCTAACGCCCGTTGTCCGTACCCTCTGCGTTAAATCTCGTCACGGTATGTCCTAATTTTGCCTTGTTACAGATGATCTAATTTTTTAAACTTCTTCACATATCAAGCCAGCGTGCTGTGTTCCATTTTGAAAGCAGCGAAAAGGAAAAAAACTGGAAATCAGTACATTGCCTGTTTGCACGCAATCCCGTTTGCATATATATATATATATATATATATATATATATATATATATATATATATATATATATATATATATATCTATATCTATATCTATATATATATATACAGACTGCGTTAACTGGTGACGGTTCATTCCTGCCAGCTGAACCAGCAAACAAACACCACTGCCCCACATTACAAACAGCCTGATAGCCGCTCGCACGGGCAGCAATCCCGTCAGCCTGAGTGCAGGCGAGCACTCGTGCGGCCAGCAGTGCCGTCAGCTTCTTAGTGCAAGCAAGCACTCGTACGGCCAGCAGTGCCGTCAGCCTCTTAGTGTAGGCAAGCGCTCGTACGGCCAGCAGTGCCGTCAGCCTCTTATTGCAAGCAAGCACTCGTACGGCCAGCAGTGCCGTCAGCCTCTTAGTGTAGGCAAGCGCTCGTACGGCCAGCAGTGCCGTCAGCTTCTTAGTGTAGGCAAGCACTCGTACGGCCAGCGGTGCCATCAGCCTCTTAGTGTAGGCAAGCACTCGTACGGCCAGCAGTACCGTCAGCCACTGTGTGTAGGCGAGCACTCGTAAGCCAGCGGCGCGGAAAGCCATTGAGTGTAAGCGAGCACTCGTGCGGCCAGCCGTGCAGTAAGCCACTGAGTGTAAGCGAGCACTCTCACGGCCAGCGGTGCAGTAAGCCACTGAGTGTAGGCGCGCACTCGCACGGCCAGCGGTGCAGTAAGCCACTGAGTGTAGGCGCGCACTCTCACGGCCAGCGGTGCAGTAAGCTCCTGAGTGCAGGCGGATACAAACTGCCCACCTGACAGGCCGTCCTCGGACGAGATCATTCTCCGAATCCCTCGGCTGTGGAACAACACAAGCCGAGTGCGTCGGTGCTGACCTGTTTCGCCGATCCGTATTGACTCTGCGAAGAAAATAGAGTCGATGATTTTTCAACCCGCGTTTTGAATGGTGCCGCAAACGCATGTGCGGTCCCCACGGTACAGGCCCGAATACCTTTGATCATCAGTTTTCATTTATTTGCGTTTGTTAGTGGGTTAATCAGTGAGTAGACAGGGACATTGATAACCTTGGTGCCTAATTGTGAATATACGGGGTCACATGCACGTATGCTGGCCATTATCAGTTTTACTTGCATTTGGTACGCTTGTTCAATATCTCAAGGTTTCCAAACACCACCTCTGTCACTTGCGGAACCATCCCAGAAAAAGTAGACCACTGGCGATCACAGTTTGACGGTGGTCAAAGTTATATTGCTTGGCTGACCTGAAGAATTGGCGTGTTTGCAGTACTGCAGGAGGGGCTGAACAGACCCGGTGACACTGAAGGTCGTGCGTTCAGTGCCCTTGGGGCATGCAGCAGGCGGCAACGCACCTGACGTGACGTTCCCCATCTGGTCACTGTTAAGACCACAGAAGCAGCTCCCACTGTGGAACACAAAGCATGTGTATAGCGCGTAAAAACATGAAACCAACCTTGTCCAAAACAACGCTAAAAATTTAGATATCATAAATATCGATACAGTAAGATTGATACACATACATATATACATATATATATATATATATATATATATATATATATGTATATATTGTGTCTTTGTGGTGTTCCCATTAGGAGTGTTTCTTACATGTACGAAAATGAAAATAGGATTCCGTCCTACTTCAATTAGTCATGCTTCATTTATGTTCTCCGTACCAAAAGATGCTTTCCAACAGTAGTGCACAATTTTTCGTCCTTTAAAACTCAAAACTTATTTCTGGTGCAATTTAGTCTTCTCCGACGATGAGATAGGATCTCGAAACGTTAGAATGGAATGAGTGATGAATATATGAGTAATTTTGTGCGAACCATACTTAATCTAAGCGATGACGCCAAGTCAAAGGCCCGGAAACTAGAACGATGCATCAAAACGCTCGTCAATGCTGAGTCAGCAGTTATTTTTTAATCAAACATATATATATATATATATATATATATATATATATATATATATATATATATATATACATATATATATATATACATATATATATATATATATATATACAGATATCCCATTGCCTCGACTAGACATGCCATGTACAAATGGTACCGTGAGCGATTGGAAATTTATAGCGTTGTTTTGGATACGGTTCATTTAACTTACATATTTTGACACCGTCCTCGCTCAGCAAAGGCCATCAACTGTGCAAGAATTGCACCAAAATGACATCATATGAACCATTCTAAGTTGCTTGCTAACGCCCTTGAAGTTTCAACTACGTATGACAGGGGAAGTTCCGTATCTCAAACCGCTTTGATTGGGTTGAGTCGATTTTGGTCTCAAATTAAGTGCTACATATGCTTGGTACCATGAGGATAAAGCAATTTAACGCGCGCAAAATGTGTCAGAGATCTGCAAACTGTCTCAAATACGCATGTTTCTTCTTCCATCGCCACATTAAGGCATCCACTACATTTTACGCTGCTTATCATATTTGTTATGGCGAACTGGTAGGTTTCAACCGCTAGTCGTTTTCGCGATAAAATAAACTTCATTCCACTACAGCCCCTATGATCCCTCATGGTTGTCAGTTTGCTAAACAGTGTCTAAATGTCTTTACTTATGATCATCAGGAACGTCTAGATTGCGTTTCTAGCTGCAGGCAGGGAAGTGATCATGATTTTCTACTGAGATGATATCCCAGCTTGGCTTCTTTGCTACAGGATTCATGATGTCAAACGTTCATTTTTGTTGTAGCATCGATCCATGCAAATCGTGATAGTTATTTGTGCAGTTATTCGACTAGCAGTAAACGGCCCCTATTAACAGTCTGCGTTGGTAATTGTTGTGTAAATGCATTTCAGTTTAGTTATCAGCGTCTTTCCCGCCTCACCCCGCCGTGTCGTTCACAATTTTCACCTTTATCTCTACCTTTAGCTTCTTTCCTTCGTACCTATATTTACCTTTACGTTTACAACCTTCACCTTTACCTTTATCTAGTGTTGGGCTGCCCAAAGCTCCATGACGGAGGTTAAAGCGAGTGTTTCACATTTGTAGGGGGTTTTGAGCTGAACTAGCTATCTCAAACATCATTTGGTACAGTTCGCGGCCCTGTCCTTCTTCTGCCCTAAACCCTTCAAGTTTCTGAACTAGGCACCCACGAAGATGTGCAGACTGTTTCGGGGAGACCATTTCAAGGTCGCTAAGGCATCTATGACGCCATAATAACCCATCGAAATCGTGCCATTTCATTAGTCATGCGGCGATCAAAGCCAAGAAAAAGTATAATTGTCAAGTCGTTCATATCTGGCGTTCGTGGCGCAAATTTCAGATATAACGGCCGTCAGTTGGCTCTCAACAGTTGTTGTGTAGGGTACCATGGCTTAATCAAATAATGACGTATTGAGGAACTTTCTTATTTAACAGAGAAATTGTATTGTCCAGGACGATCTCTTCCTCATAAAAGTATACCAATAGTTATAGATGGGCTTATTTAATCATATCTAATGCTTGCTCCAATATTTTCAAGTGCGGAACATTCGCCTTAATTTACGAGCTGGCTAACATTTAAATTTCACCAGCGTTCGCCGAGTTCTCAACATTTACATAGCATTCCTCAAGGGAGTATCCCAGTTACGCACGATTTGATCAGTAACACCAGTTCTCTCAAAATCCTTCTAAATGGCTTAGACTTCCGGTTTGAAACAGCCGACCCTGCGTGAGAAATCTCATCTGACTCACTGCTCACCACTATGAATGTCATGCACTTCATTTGCCTTGCTGTTGCCAACGTGCGTACTTTGTAATGTTTGCAACAGCCCAATGTTTTCAAATGTTTGCACAATAAATTAGACGAGCTATAAAAGCTTGGAACGCTGCTAAGACCAGAAGATATGCGAACGTGAAGCTTTTATCCCGCCAATTCAAGAAACGTCGTACTGTGGCTTTTGGTTTCTCCCCAACGGCGTTTACTACAGTGACTATTTTCGAGGCGCACTTTAACTTTGGAAATGGGAGTATGCATGATCCGTGTGACGGAATGTTTCAGATTTCAACCTATGTGCTCTTCGGTAACAGGCCCTTGCACGCTGGGCCAACCACAAACGGTCTGTTATTCGCACCACTAGAGGTGCGCACGGCCATTGTCATGAAGACGGTGGTCGCGGCTGCAGGGAGGAAGGGAAGTGCTGCAACAAAGCACTGACGGCTCAATTTAGGCTCGAAGAATAATTGAAATTGGCATCTTTGTTATGTTTTGACGGTGCTGCTTTACCACTTCCCAGTGCTATTTTTAGACGCAGCTAGTCCTGAGGTTTCGATAGAATATTGTTTTGAAATACGCCCGAAATGTGGGACACCCCTTTCACTGGTTTCTGCATCCGGAGGGAAAAAAACGTTAGAATATGAAACATTTGGTGTTGGCGATCCGGCTAAATTACACTACACATGCATAGTTCACTTATCCAAACAGGCCGCATTGACGGTGTGCCAAAAAGAATAGTATCATGATACGACATTGATTAGCCTGTTAGCGAAATAATGCGATATCATCCCAGATAAGTTATTTTTGCGATAATTATTGTAGTTGCGTCGGCAGATGCATACGTAATTCGATTCAAAACCCAGTCAAATGCCTTACAAAATTAACGGCTGGGGAAATATTCTTAAAATCTGAAATGTGTTCGGAATCTTCGTCCTAGGCTGGACGTACAAACTCCGTAGGTCCTGGTTCAAACATTTTTATGTTATGTACGTTCCTGAGACTCAGTCGGTGTTCATGGTGCCTGATGATCGCGGTGAGTAGTTTTCTAAGATAGTGTCCGGTGCGGGTCATCGTTAACATCCGGCGTAATCAATTTACGTCGAGTCAAATCGGGAACAGACGGAACGGGAGACAAGACCAGAGCATGACAGGACGGGTAGGCTGGGCTGGCGAAGCAGTCGGATGAAACAACTCGTTCCTCCCCTGCCGAGGAATTATGAAGGATGGTGCCGGATGTCAGAATTCAGGCAGTACATCATCGTGGAGGGGCGGCAGTGTCCAGCCTGGTGCTGCTGATAGCCGCGTGGGAAAAACCCGTGAACGCTCTTCACGGGACGCTCACCAGTGGTTACGATCATGAGAGACGACATTGGCTGCTTTACATCTGCACACCGTTCTGCCTACCTATTATGCCGTTCCTCCAAGCAGATCAAGCGGGTTCAAAGCTCTTTCCTCACCCTTCTAAGATGGCCACAAAGAGCTGCTCCTTATCCAGACAGTGGCAGAGACATTTCAGGTGGTTGTCGGCGCTGACGTTGGCGGATTTCCAGTAGGTTTTGTTCGCCGGTCCCACGTAGCACGTTCCATTCACTGCGGGCTTTACTACAGCGCGGGCGCAATGCATCCCAGTTATGACAAGTCGCCGGGACATCGTATTCTCGACGCGCCAAGTGACGTCCCGGCGTCTCCGGGGCAGGCAGGTGTTACAACTACTCAGCACCTCGCGACTGGCTACAGCTGGACGGGAAGCGTTCAGGCCGTCCCAGCAGGCGTGAAGAGCGTGTCATGTCGGTGGCTGCGCTCTCTGAGTGCCGTGACACGTGCGGAAAATGACACGCATTTTGGGGAGGGGCGAACCCAGATTGTTTCAACTACTCAACACGAGCCCAGCGTCTTTTGTTTGGAACGAACTGGTACCAAGTCCCGATGTAACCCCGCCACAGTGCTTTCCCAACAGGTCCACCTGTGATCACGTCACGCGCAGACGCGCTTACTCAGAAGTATCGTGCCGTTGAAGTACTCAGTCACGCGGCGCCGTCTCTCTTGGCCGCCGTCAAGCACCGCCCTGGCCACCCGCGACTGCACGCCAGACTGCTTGGCTGGATCACGGAGGACAAGGGTCAGTCGCTTCTCCTCTTGCAGACCTGGTAAGTTACCGCATTTGATATGCATTGTTACCAGATCGAATGGGCCCAAGAACAATGTTGTGGATAATTAACTTAACGGTTTATTGGGAGACATGAGGCCATGACCATAAGGCTCAACCAATTAGCGATGCGTCCATTTGGCTGCGTGTTATGTGAGTGTATACATTTAAGTACGGTACAGCAGTGTGCAGACTTCACCAGATGTGCGTGAACAGAGAATGCCAGAACAGTATTGAGCACTTACCGACCACTCGGGTATGAACGAGTTGCCGCTTCTTAATTCGTCGGTATGTTGCAGGATACATTGAACGGCCAAGGAATTCGGTAACTGCGCTGGAACTACTGTTCTGGGCCGCTGGAACGAAAGAGCTGTTTCAATTGACAACACCCAACGCAAGTATTGCAGGCCATCGCAACTATGACAAATTACAAGTAGTTGTAAGCCGCATAAAAACATAATCTGTCGCGGATCTGCAACTTAGATATGTAGGAAATGCTCGGAGTACGCAATCGGAGATCGCGGATTGAATTGGAGAGCTTTCGAATCATGGGTTGGATTGATGCACTGTCAAATAATTGGTATTGATGAACTGTGGCCATTGACATTGATAAATAAATCCATGGATTTGACAGAACCAGAAAACACAATTTTTGCTTGGTGAATAAGCCATTTTAAATGCACACACAAGTTTACTCAATTTTACAAATTTAAACGGGCTAAGCACCTGAATGTCACTTTCTTGAATGTGCTCATGTTTGCTATTTTCACATGCTCTCCTGCACTAGGCTGAAGCGGGGCTTGTACAGATGGGGCGGAACTATTTTATTTATGTCGTATTACGCAAACTAGACAACTCATAATTTCCAAAAAAAAAACATGGAAGGTGAAAACAGTTCATAACGAAATGCTTGGAAGTTAGTTTTAGTGGTCTCCGGGTATGTGTTCGTGTCTGGGCGGGATCTGAACAAACAACTGTTTGGTCTCAAAATCGCGAGCCTTCAATTACGAGGCCAGCCACTCGCATACAAACATAATTATCTAGGAAAGAGCCTGCTGGAATTCTACCTATGACGGAGAATGCCTACGTAGCTGCGAAAAAGCTTCCTTTCTGGCCATTACTTCTTCCAGTATAATTTATACCAAACCATGTTAAGGCGCCACACGGCACCATGCATAGGAGATAAGTATCCTTGGAGATAAATATCCCATCGTGGTAGACTAAAAAGCCTCATAACTGAACTAAATGAACACTTAGATGGAGAAAGTGCGAGGGATACGAAAGGCTTGCCCGCATAAAGGTCAATGGACAGACACGCACAGGCAAGGATACATGTTGTGAGGAGGAATGACGTCAGTTGCTTACGCAGCTCTACACACGGAGCGATTGAGAACTAGAATCCAAATGCTATGCCCCGATACCGCCTGGAGTATTCCGCAGGCGTCGAGGGTTTTGGCTTGGTAAAAGCAGCCCTGCTACCTCAGAACCTTGCTGACAGTCAGGAAAAATCGAACGGTAGTGGCCAGTCCTCTGCTGTCTGCTTGCAGGAGCTGTTTAGTTGAATATCACATATGGATGACATCACGAGCCGCCGATTATGTATCCCGCCATGGTGTTCAGAAAGGTGAAACATGAAATGTCGGAATGGGTCAAAGTGAAATCACACACGGCCGGCTCACGACAACGATGGGATTTCTCTGATATTATGGCTCATCTAACTTAAGCATAGTAGCAACTGTTTTGAAAGTAAGTGAGCTGTGTTGACCCGTCTATTTACGAAAGGTGCGAGCTCTTTTAGCCTGAAGTTTGTAACTCACGTGACAACAGGTGGTGAGCTGGTGTGACATGTCCTGTCACTGATCCCCACCGACAAGCGGTTAAGCCAAGTGATGGCTTATCTCAAGCAGTTCCAAACGGTGAAGTTTGTTGCAAGACACTAGCTGTCTAAGCTAAACTAGATGTGTAGGCATTCACTGCTGGCGTCAAACTTCGGTACCTGACCTTGCGTCAAATTGTGTTGGTTCAGAATGCATAATTTTTTCGTTTCACACGTACAGGAAATATGGTGGAAGCCTTGGCCCCATGGTTCAGGAGTTATATCAAAAGCTTGGTGGGGTTACTTTAAACGAGTGGTACGGAATGCAATATTTGGTTCTAAAGTTATTACAGGTACTGGAAAAAGCGTTAGGCAGCAATGCAAGCCTTTGGCGATAGCCACTTGTATGTTTGAAACATATTGATAGAATTTTGTGCGACACTAACTCGACATAGGTGCATGTGACTGCCGCTAACATTTGCGGTAACGTCAGCCAGCGTTTAATGCCGCTAGCGCTATTGAATTCCACGAGCAACTCCCACTTGCACACTTTCTTACTACCGCAATAGCGTCAACAATCTACCAAAACCTAGTTAGTTACATTGAAGACGTGGGCTTTATTTATAACAGCAATGCGCTTTGATTTGTTGACCAGTCTTGTGTACTTCGTTTTTACTCACCGGTTTCTCTGTTCAGCGACTTGTCTGGTTCCGTCAAAAAAGCCTTTGCCATGATGTAGTGGGTTCGTTTGTTGGAGGTGATGGTGATATTTTCTCCTGTAACTTTTTAAAACATTTCGACTTGTTAACTAAGCAATGTGAAAGACATGACACTTCTAAAACCACCGCTTAAATGCGCGTTTAAGAAAACAAATGCTCGTAAAGGAGGGACTTCATGAAAAATGAAAGTTAAAGTCCTTGTAAAAAACAAGGGTGGGTGTATCTTGCAACTGGGGATGAATATTGAACAGAAAGAAGCTGGAAATGGTAAATTAAGACAAACGTAATTGTAGGGCTGATGGCGGGCAACAACACAATAGAGCGTCCAGGCAGGCAATGCAAACGCCCATTGTATGCCCATAGGTACAATCCGTAAGGATCTTATCTTTGTCATACGTACGCGCGTGCATACATCACGGCATATAAAGATTCCTTAGCTCTGAATAAAAGGGCTGCAAACATATATATTTAATTGTGACAAACCTGTAAGGGAGCGCTGACGATGGGTTTCTTTACTGTCAGTATTTTCACCGTTGTAGGTCACATTTTGGGATGATTCCGGATGTTCAGAGCTGTTGGTAGCTGGTCCTAGAACAGAACATCATTACTTTGTCAAGCAACAGCCATATGTGGCAATTTTTCATCGAGTTGCTTTGCTCTTGGTAAGTGCTATTCTGAGTGGAAAAAGCATTGACACGACCGATAGTTAACCTACCTGGCATCCATGCTTGTTTCACGTTCTTGCCAGTGGTGTTCTCGAATTTTGCCTCTTTTACGTCATGGTTCCATTCAAAGGTCCGAGGCCGGAAACCTGAAAAGCGAATATTTGTGATTAGTTTAAGGTGACGCCTGTACTTTTATTTTTAAAACGGGCTTCTCCAGCTACACGTACGGGCTGACAACTTAACATTCCAATTCGGTTGCGTGAGCAACCTAGAGTGACTATGTAATCCATCCTTCACAACGTGCTGGATGCTGCCCACATTTAATTATCATTATTTGTTACCAGGGAAACAACTATACCAAATACATGAAATGCATGAAGGGCATTGCTACAAGAAGGCTGATCATGCATGAAGCTGTTCTCGGACGCAGCGTGCTTTTTTCTAGCTTCTTGGACGAGAGGGAGTGTAGTAGTCCCAGAGCGCTACCTACCTTCCGATAAGAAGTACTACTTAATTTCAGGAGTGCAAGAAAAATAATTATTGTCGGGCAGGTAAGTTACTGAACGGCGTCTCTTTATTTTGGAGGCGTGCAACACGAATAAGTCATTCCTTCCAGATACTGTACGGTTGTAAAGCTAGGTTAACTCATTAAATTTTCAGTTTTACAGCTTCCAGCTCAGTTTCATCTTCATCTTTGCCATTCCGCTCTCATCTGCAATTTCATTAGGTGGGAGCAAACGTTATGGTTATTTGGTAGTTTGTATTAACCCTCCAAAAACACAAATTAAAGTAAAGAATTAACGAAGACATAGGGAGTTCATACTCTTTCAGCAAATGATGTAATGTATCTGACCCTTGATAAGCTGTTGATGCTCCAGACGGCGCAAAAAAGATAAATTCAGGACATTATGTCGTGAGCTGGATTTTGTGATCAGTACAACTTTAAGAGTTAACATTAACGCCGAAATCTGAATCGTGTCTATGTATGCACAGAGCAAGGGCACCAGGTACCTTAAAGTCCAAGACACCCCCGCGACTCCAGCCGCTTGCACGCGTCGAGTTTGGTTTGTTTACAAGATGCATCACGATCGGCGCCAGTGTGCCAAATGCAAGGTTTTCACACATCCCCAATTTTTCGGTCTCGCCACCACATCACGAAAGGAGAGCCTGGTGCAAACACCAGCAAGGCCTGGTAGAGAATTTTGCTTCAGGTATTTCTTTTATCCGAAGAAACTTGACGACCAAATTGCATCACTCCCGAAATGCAGCAGTGAAAAATTCAATACGGGTCTTCTGAATAGAATTTACAAGATGAATATCACAATTTGAGCACTTATTTTAACATATTTTAAGCCAAATCGGCTGATAACAAAACTTTTCCAAAAAAGTTTCAGTCTTTATATTCATCTCACTACTTTTGTTTTTCCTGGTATCATACGAGTGTGATACCACTTTAATTTTCCTTCCTTTCCCCACTGCCTTTAGAGGTACCATCTGTTGCTTAAATTGTTGACCAATTCATGTGCAAGATGCTCCAACTGCAAATGTGCACGTATTTTGTACATAAATCGGATTAATTCGCCAGCCGCCCAAACATGTTTGATATGCAAGTGAACAATTCACCGGGAATGAAAGAGACAATTTACAAAACTTATTTTTACCGCCATTTTTGCCCTCTTAAACCCTCGGTTAGCCATCTTTGGCTCATGGCGGTGCTCGATAATGATAAATCTAAGCCTTTCGAGTGTCTCACCAGGCTCCCTGACAAGGCTATCCTTATGCTGCCATGTATGCTGCTTTGGGACAGACCTGACGCAGCTAACACAGAAGTGTTTGATGGCGAAATTCTGCCTTCCGGAAATGTTTATCATGCACGCTTCTTACTTATTTCGCATTTTAATCTCTTAGATTGGTGGACGTGATTGCTATTTATGTTTGGGGGGGTGGGTGGGATGACTCTGTTTGTCAGCAAACTGTGCAAAGTGTGGTACTGACTTTTTGTTTTGGGGGGCCAGGGAGAAGCGCGCCCTGAAAAAAGCCAGTAAGTCTCCCGTGGACCAAGTAATTGCTTACCTCAAACCGCTGTCAACGCATGATTTGTAACCATAACTAGCCATTTGCTGTCCTAATGCATCGAACTTTGTCTAAGACACGTTGTGATGCCACAAGCATGCAATGGGCTTATTTCGTTCCACATTCTTGATTATTTGTCCCAAATTTCTTGAAGTGGTCCCTCATGGTTGCTTTAACCAGATTTTTTCCATAGTCGTCATGGTTTGGTGACTGACAAATGACTACTATATATATGCACTATATTTTTAACACTGATGCTGTAAGGTGCAGAGCAAATATAATATGAGGTAAATATCGACATTAAGCAAATAGACCATTGCATTGAAAATGTGAAGCCAACATCACAATTACGTCATTATATATGAGTTAACAGGTCTAAATAGATGCCTTTGCTGCAGCTGAAAATGCAAGCACCAAATTGGCATGGTCATCTGAAAGTTATGTTACTTTTGGAGAAGAGCGATTGTTTTGTGGAGCATACCCATTGTTGCTCTTGACAGAGGTTAACCATGGCGATCAGAATAGGTTGTTCAAGTTATTTGAAGTGTTTTCATTTGTGTGTTGTCAACTTTGTCTGATGTCAACAAGCATACACAAATGAACTGAATACAAAGGCAAGCTGAAACCAGCCAAAAAATGAGCTTTATCATGTTGTTATCATAAGTGCTGCTCTCAACAGGTAGGTGAGTTGAGATGGCGTTCAACATATAGGCTACTCTAAGTAAGGTTAAGTTGGTTAAGTGCATGGCAAGTGACAATAGGAATTGCGCAGGTATCAGTAACTCGCAACTGCTGTTGTGATACCAACAGGTTAGACAGGATGAGATGAAGTAAGACCTCCCTAGGTTAGACATAGTTAGGCTACTTTCATGGAAATAAACATTGGTATTTTGTAAGCCACACTGACAAAATGTTTGTTTTCCCTGACCCTATCTTAACAGAAGCCAAAGGTATGTGTGTTGTGCTTGACTTGGTGATGACTTGATGTTTAGGAGTCCAAGGTTTTTTTTTGTTTAAGAGCTTTATGCTTGTTGAATTTTCTGTTGTTGTTGAATTCCTTTGCTTTGTATTGTGTTTAAAACGCTGCGGAAGGGAAGTGCAAAGTGCAGCATCAAATTATTGGTGTTACTGAATTGCGTTATGCTTATTACACTGTCATGAAGTTGCTATGCTTTAATGTATTCTGCTTCACGTTAATGGCCTAAGATGTTAAGAAACAAAACAGTTTGTCAGGTTTATGATATTACGTCCACGCCACCCTGAAATTGATGTCTGCTGAAGCATCATTCACTAGCTCATAAGTTTCATCTTTTGTAACTTGAATTTTTCACTCCCGGGCAGCCTTTTTGCGATGAAATTTTTTGCTCCCACCCTAGTTCAAAAGCACTTCTGGCTCAATGGGATCCATTGCTGTTGAATAGAAACGCGCCGTGTAACGAGTACTTTTCATCAATATAGCTGAATTACGTCGTTGCCACACAACAACACGCTGAGAAAGTATAAAATTTTGACTCTTACCGGCAGACTTTTCATTCTTCTCAACAAGGAGGAATCCTTGCGCTGCTTTTCCTTGTGAAGAATCCATTTTCCACTCGCGAACAGTCACGTTGCCAGCTGTGTCAGTTGATCCGCACTCACATCCATTTCTGTGAAAAACAACCCCGATAAATGGATTCGCCAAGGCATTGTTAACATCTACAGCAGAACCGTCCGAGACCACGCAGCATCTCGATCACAACACATGTGCTCAGTATTTCTTAAGGTTAAAAATGTTTTTTTCAAGTCGCATTTCCCGGCTTGCTCTGAGTGAATAAGATCATAAAGTTTTGTAATAAATTTATCTCTGGGAAATATTTCATTTATGAAGATATTCAAGGAACCATCAAATGAGATGATATAAGATGAATATACACACACACACACACATATATATATATATACCACTTCTGGTGTACTTTTTAAGTGGAAAAGATCGCTCCAGACAGCACAGATGTCTGTTAAGAAAATATGCTTCTCAAGACGTCATGGTTTGATTACGTCATCGTAAATAATACAATTTTGATTGAGAACCAACTGACGGTCGTTGTATTTAGAAACCGCCATCACGAACGCCAGATTAATTAGATTTTCTTAGCCTGGCTCGCCGCATGGCTTATAGGATGGCAGGAGTTGAAAGACGTTATTATGACGTCATGAATGTCAAGGTGACTCTGAAATACCCTCCCCGATATACCTTTTCCCATCTTCTCGGCCATTTAGCTCAAAAACTAGAGGGGCTTTAGTCTATGGAGGGCTGGATTGTACACAGCGCCGAAAGCTCTTCAAGATGGCTATTTCCGTTCAAAGCCACATATAAATGTAGAACACTCCCTCTAACGTGTAGCAGATAAATCGGGCCACACGTATATATATATGTACGGTGCAGCCCAGGCACGCCCACAAGCAGCTTTGTTGTAATGCAAACACGAATTTTAGACGGCGACACTACTGTGGCATGCTTTTTAAATAAATAAAAAATGTTCAAACACCGCCTGGGGTATTTCACGAACCGCCGCAAGCGGTCTCAGTATTTCAATGTCCAATCACCGGTTAAAGAAATTGAAACGTTAATCGATAGCCTTAGTCCTATAGTTTGCGGTTATCGTATAGGTCATGACATCATAGACTAAGACAAATATATTTTTTTGAAATTGGACGGTCTTCATACATCCGCAAGATCATCAGCAACCGCAGTAATTGTTTTCAGAAAGCCCCAATATTACGACATTTGGGTGCTTGTAGTTGTAGCACGTCGCATACTTCACAGCTTGCTGGCAACGGAGAGGCCTTCGACTTATGCGTTAAAAGCGTACCATATTGTTAACGATCCAACGGTGAAGGCCCCTAGCAGAGTTAACGGAACCGTTCCACCTTTGAAGATATTGAAGCAAGCGTCAGATAAAATGCAATAATCTCGCTTATAACCATTGATATACTTCTAGGTGGAGAAGACTACTCTAGACACTGCAGTTGCTCTACTTGGTAAATATGCTCCTCAATGCGTCATTGTTTGATTACGTAGTCGTATCTTGCAGAACATTGATTTAGAGGCAATTGGCGGCAGTCGTGCTCACGAACGTGCACACTAACGCCATATTTGAATGATTCAACAATCATATTTTCTTGGTCTGGATTGCCGCATAGCAAAGGAATGACGCGATCTAAATGACGTTATTATGGCGTCGTAGACGCCTGGATGACTGAAAGAGTTCTCCCGAAATGGTCTGCACATCTTTGCAGACGTAAAGCTAAGAAACTTGATGGGTTTAGGTCTTAGAAAGGACAGGACTGTTAACAGCACCGCATGATCTTCAAGATAGCTATTTTAGTTCAAAAGCCATATAAATGTGGAACACTCCCTTTAAGTCAGGTGGGGCTCCGGTCAGGTCATCGGCTATGGTTGACTGCGGTAGGGGATATGGATTCCGGGCAATATGACCTGTTGAACCCAAATTGGCCTGCTCAGAAGTTTTCAGTTTGCTAAATGCATTGGATTACTAAGCAATTTGCCACAGCCTAAGACACCGCGAACAATTCTGCTTTGTCATTAATAAGTGGACCTGACATGACCTTTGTTAGCGATTAAATACGTTCCCGTATAACTTCCCGGACTCTGAATAAGGTGAAGCTAAACCGGTCGATGCAACATATTTTAACACAACACAGTTGTCAAATTTAAGTCTAAGCAGTCAGCCAAACTCCAACACATTGGATGAATGCAGTCAAATTGACATTAATGTCGAACACGTTGATGTGATCCCAGCGTCGTTAGTCAGCTCCCAGTGACGCCTTGGTAGATGCAGATGCAGCGCTCCTCCAGCTCGCGCGCGTCAGTGAGATGTCCACCAATCTTCGACTCACACTCCGAGCAGCATGAGTCGCGTGCCTGCCAGGTCGCGACAGGCGACGAAGCAGTCGACCAGGCTGGTGCGGCCCGGCTGCGCGCGCCAGCGCACCGACGCCGGACGCTCCGCCACCCAGAGCACGCGGTGGCCAGCTGGCGGCGCAGCAGACACCGGACGTCAGTGACTGAGGACCCTCCTCCCCGGGCTAACTCGACTGGGTCGGGCCGGACGTGTTACACGCTAGACATTGTGTGGAGGCTGCGATGGCATGAGGTAGCTCGGAATACGGATTGTCTTAGCGATGCTATGAACGGTAGATGTGAGAGCGAATGCGTTACAGTGGCAGGGAAACGTAGGAAGTGGAGCGGGAAAATGACGGCAAGTTTTTAGATACATCACACATAGTTGCAGGCATGAAATATTTGGAATATCTACAACATAAGCCTTGAATGACATTTGGGACATACTTAAAAGCATACTGTGTTGAAATAAAATAAGTGAAAGTGAAATAAAAAAAACATACTCATGCCCAGCTATGTACTTTGATATCATCAGTAAGTGACATAGCACCAAAAGGGTATGGTAATAAATACATTTTGACCATTAGCGGTGTGAATCACACGTTTCACGTTTTGGCACAGCACTTTGTTTTCATTGTAGCCCCAGATATCATTTCCGGAATGCAATATATTGGTGGGACACTTAATACGATATCTTGGGACTTCCCCGACTGGGTGATGATTCAACCTGTCAGATAATTGCGGTAACTAGCACGGTACGGATTCAAGGCCTCTGAAGTGCAATGTAGAAATTGCAAGTGATACGCTTGCCGTGAACACTTTCAGAAGTCAATTTTGTACCGTCATTATGGCCGTAAAAACATTACACGTTCAATGACCGCATGTCCTGCTGCTCTGGTGTCATCGCCACTCGTTCACAGCCCGTGCGAGGAGATGGAAAAATATGCTGCTGAGCTATCAGTACTGGACACACGTTTGGCCCACCATCTGGCCGCTAGCCGGTCATACCTCCGGCCCTTCATCTCACCACTAGCCGGCCACACCCCTGGCCCGTCACCTGACCGCTAGCGGGCCACACCTCCGGCCCGTCATCTGACCTCTGGTCGGCCACACCCTGACACGTTATCTGACCGCTAGCCGGCCACACACCCCCGGTCCGTCATCTGACCTCTGGTCGGCCACACCCTGACACGTTATCTGACCGCTAGCCGGCCACACCCCCGGTCCGCCATCTGACCTCCGGTCGGCCACAACCCCAGCCCGTTACCTGACCGCTAGCCGGCCAGACCCCCGGCCCGTTATCTGACCTCCGGTCGGCCACACCCCCGGCCCCTTATCTGACCTCCAGCCAGCCACAACCCCGGCCCGTTATCTGACCTCCGGTCGGTCACACCCCGGCCCGTTATCTAACCTCTGTTCTTCAGGGAGTCCAGGTTACGTCTCCACACACTGACGGTCAGGACCGAGTAGGAGTCCGTCGCTGCCGTGGCCCCTCTGGCAATGGGACATCGGCAGGCTTCGGAAAGTGTCACCAGCGCCGCCGGCATCGCCACACACCGACACCCATCTCTGCGGGACATTGGAAACTCCATCACTTCCTGGCTTTCAGCGTTCAGCGTTCTTGTACATCGTAGCACAAAAGCTGAAAGCTTTTTCGTTATGATATGACATTCTTGGTATGCGTTGATACCTTTGCAGTTACAACTTTTACTATGTTCACATAATACACAAAAGTATATATAGATATATAAGCACATACATATATATCATACACATAAGCATATACATAGCATACATAAGCAAAAGCATATACATATACATCATTAGATACATGGAATCAGATATTTGCGCATACATGCATATGTACACACACACACACACATATATACATATATATATATATATATATATATATATATATATACATATGTGTGTGTGTGTGTGTGTGTGTACAGAATCGGACAGATCTTGGTTAACAACGGTTTTCCAAATTCTGACGTTGAAAACAAAATACCATGACATATGACAAGACACTTTGACAGCAAACCATGACAAGACATCCAACCAACCGTCGAACTCTATTGTCAAAATCAAATGACATCTGCCCACGAACAAGGCGAAAAAGCTTTACAGGAAATAATCTCTCGACATAATGAGAGGATCCCTAACTTTCTTATGAGACACAGCCCAGACAAACCCTACAAACTAAAATGTACCCATGTAGTGTATCAATCAAAATGCAACATCGAAGGCTGCAAACATCGTTCGATGCACTACCTTGGTGTGACCACAACGGCACTCTCACGACCCCTAACAATGCACTTACATGACGGGGCACCTCTGGACCACATGCGACACGAACACGACCGGACATTGACACAACAACTAGCAGACAACACTGACATTTTACGGGCGTGCAATGACAGAAGACGCCTTCAAATTTGGGAAAGGATATGCATTAACGAACAACCCTAAACAGACAAACAACTTCTTGCACAACTCGTGAACTATTTGGTGGTGGCGGTCACCAGTATTGATGTGATTGTGGCCATAGTGTTCTCATTGCGTCTTTGAAGTGTTCCTGCTATGAGTGTATCTTATATGCATTAAAGTGAAAATAGGATTCTGTCTTACTTCAATGAGACCTGCTGCATTTGTGTTCTCTGGACCAACAGATGTTTTCCAATAGAAGTGCACGATTGTTGTCTTTTCCAACTCGAAACCTATTTCTTGTGCTATTCAGTCTTCTCCGACGATGAGATATGATTTTGAAACCTTAGAATGTAAAGATCGACGAATATCTGAGAAATTTTGTGCGAACCATCTTTAATCTAAGCGATGATGCCAAGTCAAAAGCCCGGAAACCACAACGATGCGTCAAAAAGCTCGCCAATGCTGAGTCAGCAATGGTATTTAATCAAACAGGTATAAAAGAAAGGATTCTGCCAAAATATTCCAACCTATCTATCTATCTATCTATCTATCTATCTATCTATCTATATATCTATCTATCTATATATATATAGATATAGATATAGATATAGATATAGATATAGATATATATATATATATATATATATATATATATATCTATCTATCTATATCTATCTATCTATCTATCTATCTAGATATATATATATATATTCCTCTCTCTCTCTCTCTCTC